ATCCACCTCATAGAGGGTCTTCCCCTCCTGCGCTGTCCCACCTTACCAAGCATGATGTCTCTCTCCAAGGACCTGTCTCTCCTTACAATGTGTCCAAAGTATGTCAGACGAAGTTCCAGAATCCTTGCCTCTAAGGAGTAGCCTGGTTTAACCCTCTCCAGGATGAATCTGTTTGTTTTCTTGGCAGTCCAGGGTACATTCAATACTTTTCTCCAGCACCACAGCTCAAAGGCATCAATTCTCCTTCTGTCTTCCCTAGTCGTTGTCCAACTCTCTAATGCATAACAAGTGATTGCAAAGACTATAGCCTGTATCAGGCACACCTTAGTCTCCAGAGAGACACCGTTGCTCCTTAATATTATAGAGAGGTCCCTAACAGCAGACTTTCCCATCGCAATACGTTTTTTGATTTCCTGGCTACTGGTGCCAAGAGTGTTGTCGCGGAGCCAAGCAAATTGAAGCTGTGAACAAAGTCAATCTCTTCACCATCCATCCTGATGCTACCAATTGGTCCAGTGGTGAGAATCTTTGTCTTTTTGACATTGAGCCTCAGTCCATACTGAAGGCTGCAGTCCTTGACCCTCTGCAGCAAGTGCATGAGGTCCTCCTCAGTTTCAGCAAGCAGGGTTGTGTCATCTGCATAACGCAGATTGTTAATAGATCTTCCACCAATCCTGACGCCACACTTCTCCTCATAGAGCCCGGCCTCTCGGATAATCTGCTCTGCATACAGGTTGAAAAGGTATGGAGATAGGACACATCCCTGGTGTACGCCCTTCCCAATTTTGAGCCATGTGGTGTTACCATGCTCTGTTCTAATGACTGCCTCTTGGTCCAAGTATAGGTTTCGCATTAGCATGATTAAATGTTCTGGGATTCCCATTCTTCTCAGAGTCAGCCACAGTTTTATGGGTAGCATAAGAAAAAAAGATTCTTTTCACATCCAGATAAGAGTTTCCTTTTACAATATTCTACATTTGCTCAGGTTCTTGACATTTGACTCACTGAGTCAGTTAAGGTGTGACTGTGTGTGTGTGTGTGTGTGTGTGTGTGTGTGTGTGTGTATCCTCATAGACCTCTTATTTGGCTGGAAGCAAAAGATAAACCTTAAAAGTATTATATGGATGGAGGCCAATAGGAAAAAAGATGGTATTTAGACTGTCATGATCAAATTTATATTTAATGTATAGTTTCAGTAGATTCGTATTTATGAGTCTAGAAATTTTACTGAAGTAGTCAATTACCTCTTGACATAAGATAGATCTGAACATTATTAGTGAATAATTTGGAATAATAATCTGTGCTATAATTTTAACTTTTCCATGGACAAAAACTGGTAAAAGGTCCAAAAGAACACTAAAGAACTAGTTTGGAAAATTCTGCCTATGCTGACAATGAAATTTGCCAAATTTATGCTTTTATGCTGTTAACCTTAGTATAAGGGTAGAAAATCAGTAACCATATATCCTGCATCTATGTGCGTGACACAATTAAATTCATGTACATGCCTATGTACTCTAGATTAATTTGATGAGCTACTAAGATGATTAAAACCAATTGTTTATTTGATTAATAGGCCATTTTCATGTAGCATATATTTTTCCCCAAATAAAAAGTTTGAGATCATATTTTAAACAGGATTCAAAATATCTCTTTTTCATGTTGCAATACTGACCGTTTTTGCATTGAGCTGGCTGGTAAGGAAAATTAAAAAAAAACTGTAACTTAGAATTTAGAATGTGTTTATATAAGCAAGTTTCCATTTTTCTAAGAAGAAACACAGTAAGTCTATGTTCAACAACTTTATTAATGACATAGGAGAAAATTTTTTTAAAGTCCACTAATGAATTCATTAATGAGTCTAAATTGAGAGATGTAAACACCAGAAAAGGCAGAAATGTTGCCACCAAAGAGTATTTGATAACACAGGGTGATAAAAGGTATTGATCAATAATAATTAAGTATATAAAAACAGTATAAGAATTATTGCATAAAGCACATTGTACATGAATGACATAAAATATATATGAATGAGTGTACAAAAACCAATTAAAAATGGTTAAAAAAATAATCCCATATTAACTCATCTTTCTATGGAGGAAAAAAGAGTACACAAGAGAAACTAAAAGAAAGGCTGAAATTAAGCAGCATACAGCCAGAACGATCATAAAACTTGATTATTGTTGATTGTGTACCATAGAGTTGGAACCGACACATAGCTGACCCTTTACTGGGCTTTAAGATGCAGTTTATGGCATGGGAGGAGATGGCCCACCCTTCTTTTGTAGATCACCTGGTGGCCTTAAATCGTGTACCTTTGAGATTGCAGTCCACCTTCTTGCCACTAGGCTATCAGAGCAAGTCTTACCAGTATCTACATAGTGGAGAAATAAATAGTCAGAACTAGAGATGCTAAAGAATGCAGTAATCTAGTTATGTTTATGAAAACTAATTGGCAGAGAAGACAATACGACCTGAGTATCTTGCCACGAAAGTCATTAAATAAATTTCTCACTCTCAATAAACTGTAAATTCAACCTAAAATTAGTAGTCTAAGCAGGAGTGGCAGTCACATTCTAAACAACATGCTTCCAGAAACTATATGAACTTTGATAAATGTCGATAGTTATAGAAAGGCTTCAGGCCTTTTGTACATAGGGTCGCTATGAGTTGTGCTCAACTTAAAAGCAATCAAAAACAACAAGGAAGACTTTGTGCCATGAGTGAGATAATTGAACATGATTTATCTTTTCCCTTTCCCCCTGTTTTTATGAGAAAAAACAAGATTGGCTTCTGTATCTCTCTGATGGATATCATGTGGGTTATGTCTCAATTTACTGGATATATGTGTATGAGGGAGCTCTTGGTGGCCTCGTGGCAAGAAGCTGTGTTGCAATTCCAAAGACACAGCTTCGAGGTCACCTACTGTTCCACAGGAGAAGGATGGACAGTCTCCTCCCATGTGATTAACTGCCTCTGAAAACCCACCAGAGGGTCATCTATGGGTCAGTTCCAACTCTACAGCACACAATGACAACATATATGGATGAATGTGGAATCTCTCTACATGGCTGTTTTGATCTGAATGGAAATCTAGATTTGACTTTGGACGTAACCAAATGCATGCTGTATTAATTGTTCTACTGTGGATCTCCTGGCTCCTGGTGTCCACCCCCTCATATCCAAGAGTGTGAGCAGCTGGCTCTACTACTGTGAACAGAGACTGGGACAATTTCCCTGCAGCACAGACATCCATCTTGCCAAATGGATGGAAAGAGAAATTTTATTTGCTTGTTTGGGTGTTCCCATTGCCAGATTCCTCTTGGAACTGAAGGATGAAACTATACCACCCTGACGTATCTATAACTATTTATAGCCTTTACTTTTATTCAGTAAGTCAGCTTTTTGTTTTGTTGCTTCTAGAGAAAATGACTTTCTCTTCCTTGTAATACAAACTATAACATTAGTTTCTTCACCTTCCATAAAAGGTGGAACTAATTTTAAAATGAATAAAACTGCTCATAGCAACCTATCTGGCCAGTAGACACCTGCTGCCCTCTGCAGCTGGAGCTACTTCCTGATGATACGTCATACCTAGCTCTTTACTTCTCCTGAGGCCTGTCTTGGTTGCTTACACACTTTTGCTTCCTGACTGTGGGCAAACCCAGTTGTAAGGACCAGAGGTAAATTCTAAAATCTGGCTTAATTACTATAGTTGTTGTGTACTTCCAACAGGTTTTTCAGAGGCAGTTAATCACACCAGAGGAGATTGCCCATCTTTCTCCCACTGAGCAGCCGATGGTCTTGAACCATGTGCCTTTGGGATTGTGTTGCAGCTTTTTGCCATTAGGCCACCAGAGGTGGAGTTAATTTTAGATCTCCACCATTCAAGGCAATCAGATTGCACCTATGAAGAGATAAGCAAAATTTAAGACTGAGTAAAACTGCCACAATGTTAACTGACTAAATCTCACAGTTAACTCAAGCAGTTAATGCTGAAGGTGAATAATCTTTTCCTAGACAGAAGAAAACCAGTGGAAAGTAACTTCTCAGTTAACTGAATTTACCTGAATCATTAATATGCAGCTTGTTTACAGATGAGTCTAGTAGAATCACATTCATCCATTGGATTAATTGAACATTAAATAAGAGTTTTAAAAACAACATTGCGCTGCATTTTTTGGTGAAAGTTTACACAAGTTCCCATTTACAATGTCCACATAAAGTCTTCAGTGAAATTAATTACATTATCACCATGGAAGTATAGGCTTTAATTGTGTTCTCTTTGTTCCAGCTCTGGTTCCCTAGCTTCCTCTCCCATCTTATCCTATCATCTTTGTTGACATTTTGTTCTCTTGCACCTGGAGATATTGTTTAGTTTGGGTGCTGTACTGCTATTTTGCTAAAAAGGTGTCCTCAAAGGATGGGTTCAACACTACGTTTAAATACTGTTTCAGAGCAATAGTCTCTGTTTTCTGCTGTTCCAGTTTGTCTAGCTTTCAATCTTTGTTGTTTTATATATAGGAATATGAGTTCTATTACTTGTTCTATCCATGGTGGTAGCTAGGTATCATCTAAATCTTTTGCTGCCAAGGTTTAGTAAGAAAGGTTCCTTTTTTAGGCTTCTTTCTTTACTGAGCTCTTGAATATCTTCTTACTTGGTTTGATCCAAGCAAGTAAAGACCTACTTGTGTCCTTGCTGGATGCTCTCACACTTTTAACATCCCAGGTACATACACCTAACTTCTCTAGGATCATATAATGATTTTTCTGAACTAAGGTATACTATTTGATGGCATTGTCACATGAGACCATGGTAGTGATTAGATCTTAAAGAGAAAACTGTGAAAACTTATAAAACTATAAGAAATACGTAGCAATTAATCATCTTTCATATAATTATTCTTTTTAATCGATCTTGCTGATTCTGATAATATGGAAAATGAACAAAAACACCCCATTATGGTTAAGGGACTAATGTTGCTGTCCTGTTTTGCCAGGTGTGTTGTAGACGACAAGAACTCGAAGGTGGCTTGGTTGAACCGATCTGGCATCATTTTCGCTGGACATGACAAGTGGTCTCTGGACCCCCGGGTTGAACTGGAAAAGCGTCATTCTCTGGAATACAGTCTTCGAATCCAGAAGGTGGATGTCTATGATGAAGGTTCCTACACTTGCTCAGTTCAGACACAGCATGAACCCAAGACCTCCCAAGTTTACTTGATCGTGCAAGGTAAGAAAAGTGGGATAAGCGGTTTGTTACTGTGATGTTGTTATGTGTCGTCGAATTCCTTGTGACTCATAGCGACCCTCTGTACAACATCCCTAAACCCTGCTCTGTCCCGTGCCAATCGCACTGGCTCCGACACGCCCACCCTCATTACCGCACTGAATCAATCCACCTCAGAAGGTCGTCCCCTCCTGTGCTGTCCCTCTACCCTCCCAAGCATGACACCCCTCTCCAAGGACTGGTTCCTTCTTGCAATATGTCCAAAGTATGTCAGACGAAATTTCAGACTCCTTGCCTCCAGGAAGCAGCCTGGTTTAAGTGGTAGTGCGCCTCCAGGAAGCAGCCTGGTTTAAGTGGTAGTGCACAAAATATTTTCAGAACCCTTTCTGGTAAAAGGAAGGGAAGGCAGAATATTTTAAAATGTATCATTATACTTAAGTGTATTTGTGTGGGTGTGTTTTCCCTTACTGAGATAGGTTTAAATAAGGCCTCAGCAGAGTATAGAGAGATGACCTTGTCGCTGTTGCAATAGTTAGTGAGAATGCTAGCAAAAAGCCCTGAGTGTGAAAACACACAGCAAGGGCCACAGCTCCTAGAATAATTTGACTTACAAGGACACAAAAGTACATAGGATGTTTTTAATGAGGCAAAGTTCAGCTTTCTGCTTTTTGGTATCAGATGTTTTACTTAATTTACAATTTTATTTTAACTAGCCTCAATCTGAACAATATCGCTGTTTTCTGCAATAGTACTTGTTTGGGTTTTCTTTTCTTTTTTTTTTTTTTAATAACAATGTTGAAATAAGAAATCCCTCTACACTTTGACGTCATCTCAAATGGTCAGCTTTCTACATAATTCTTATAGTCATTTGATAGCAAATTATTTATGCAAAAAATGCAATGATAAGGCTATGTGAAGTCATTGGGGAAAATTGCTTGTAGATTGGGATATTGAAGGGCACGCCTGAGTTATGATTTTACCGGATGCAAACTCTAAATGGTATGTACATACCCTCAAACCATAGCTCTCTTGGGTCCCTTTCTCCATAATTGCAGAGTGAAAACAAAGCTGATAATCTGCACAATTTTATTGCAGGCAAAGTCAAACCACCAGCAGTTTCAATCCATCTATCAGGAAAGATCTGAGCACTAACAAATATTAGAGCTGTGTTCATGCAGTCTTGATTTACAGTTTTATGTAAATTTCATGCAAATTAGGCATGGCCCTAAGGCTCCTGTCAAGATTCCAGTGCAGTCAGTGGTGTGGCAAAGTTTGACTGTAGCATCTATTAATGTGTTATGGAATTGATTATTGTAGCATTTAAATTATTGCTCTCCCAACTCTTCTGATTAATAGATTGAAACTGGAATAAAATTCATCGGAGACTGTCTGGTACATGGGTGATTTAGTCATGTGACCTCAATCTTGGTCCATTTGCAATGGCTGACAGCTTCATTTTATTGCTTGCAAAAGACATGTCTACTAGCTTGCAAAGACCCTATCACAGCATAATATAGCTTCATCAGAGCATAGTGTGCTTTCCTGGTAGTTTAGTACTTGAGACACCAGGATTTGGAACTTAGCCAAACCATTTAAATGTGTATGCATAGCTAGAGATATGTAAACATTTAAATGGGTTCATTTAAAAACACCATCAAAATGTATACACACATACACACTCACAAATGTACAGATACAAACACACCAACAGACAGCTCAAAGTCAAAGAAAAATTTCTATATAATTCAATTACATTGAAAAGGCAGATACATAGTTGACAAAAGGACTGTTAGAATAGATTTTGTCTCATGACCAACTCCACATTGTATTAAAATTCTTGCATAATTTTAGAACTCTTATTCCTATCAGGGTCATTAGAGAGCTCTTACAGACCCCAAATGGAAAATGGACATTGTTTTACATTAACTCAAATTTGGATGATTCTGTGTTGGTGTACGGATTAAATAATTGAAGTTCATTAAACATCGTTTACTTGCTATATAACAGAAAGATCACAGAAATTAGACAGTTGAAAGCATATTAAATCATTAATCCAAAGCACTGTTCACTGGAATAGATTTTCTTTCTTTCTTTTTTTTGCTATGACTTTAAGGACAGCCAAATATATATTTAAATCTGAGCATTTAACATCAATTTCCAGACTGCCTGCCACTTTTTCCTTGGTTGATGTGTATCCTTTTTAGCTACAAATATAACCATCCCAAGAGAGTGAAAGTTGGAGTAAGGTGATATTCTTTGTGTGTACCTTTTTGGCAAATCAGTGCAAGTGCAATTAAATCAGTATTAAGTAGGTTGTAATATTTTAATTATAAATATTTAAAAAATAAAGACAATTCAGACTTTATAAGGCACTGCCAAGATTCTTTACTGCTTTAGGGTAGAGTTTCAAAATCATCTGTTTCATTCAAACTGTTATGAAATTTCTTACTTAGCATATTTCTTTGAAAGTAAAGGATGATGATAAAGCATGTACTTTTAAAGGGATGGAGAGAATATTGTGTCTTTTGTGACAGATGCTAGGTAGGGGATTTTGTTGACAATTGTATGGATGAAGGCATTAGGTCTCCAGAACCAGGTAGCTGACTCACTTTTCCTTCCGATCTTCAGCTTTATGGTTATGTCAGAAATTCACTTAATGGAGCTTCTTTATGCTATCTCTTCACACTGCTTCCTACTCAGTGCCTTACCTCTAACCTACCTAGTCAAGTGTTAAGACTCTAGTGACAGTTTTACACCTTTTCACTTTATCAAAGATTCTGCTTCTAGGTATAGTTGACATCTGTCCTTCTTCAACTCCACAGCCCTTGCCTACAAAATTAAAAACTCTTTTCAAGTTTACAACCTGTATGTTTGCATCCCTACATGGTTTTGCAAATTCAACCAGACTAATCATTAAATAAGGGCTGTGGTTTTATTTCTCTTTACCCAATGATTAAAAAACTCACTCATTGTTGTCAAGTTGGAACCAACTCGTAGCTGATCTTCCATCAGGTTTTCCTAGCTTGTTAAGTGCATGATAAGAGATTTCCTGCATTTCTCCCAAGAAGAGGTTGGTGCATTGGAATTACCAAGGAGGTGCCAGGGAAGAAACAGGGAATTCCCTACCCATTAGGTCAGCGGCACACTATCCTTAGTTTTAGATTCTAAAAGGTACTGTTGTTGATTTTAGGTATTGTCTACTCAAAACAGACATGTGAGTGACTCTCCAGCAGCTTTCCAGAGGCAGGAAATCACATGGAGGAGATCGCCCATCTTCCCCTTGCAGAGCAGCTGGTGGGTTCTAACTACTTGCCTCTGGGTTGAATGCACAGCCATTAAGCCACCAGAGTCCCCTTCATGAGATAGTATTAAAGAATACTGGCTAACAAGAAGTGTAGTTCACATTTCAGTTTTCATTCTTACTTCCTAAAGAAAATGTGAGATAAACTATTTAACGTCTTTACTGGAGCCCCATGGTATAATGTATATCAGACTGCTAACCAGAATGTTGACATTTCAAACCTACCAGTGGCTCTGCAAAAGAAGATATCTCTTCCTGTAAAGAATTAAAACCTCTGGACCCTGATGGAGGCTTGATATGAGTTGGAATCAACTTGGTGCAAGTGTTTGATTTTTTAAAATACTTAACCTCATTATGCCTCAATATTATCTTCTATAAAATAGAGATAAAACAACAAAATAAAAAATTATACTAAGTACAAAGATTAATTTAGTTGATCTTTGTGTAAGCTGCTAGCATTGTGCTTCAAGCATCAGATATTCTTTCTCAAGAGCTGCTGCTGCTGCTGCTGCTGATCCAGGAATTATCATTCTAACTCTTGTCTCAGATCCTGTTTCAGCATAAGCAGATACTACTTCCTGGCTGGCCAGGCCATGTGATAGTTATTTATTACCTTTGAAATAGATTCTTTAGTATTTATTTTGCATTTCTCCAGTCCTTTTGTAGGGATCTCTGGTTGCCTAGTAAATAAGGAGTTGTGCTGCCAACCCAAAGGTAGTTGGTTCGAATCCACCAGCAGATTGCCCTAGGATACAGATGGGCAAGCTCCTCCTGTGTCTTAGTCTCTGGAGTATCACTCTGAAGTTTCACTGAAGGATCAGCTGTGAGTTGATTCCAACTCAACGACAATGAATGAGTGTGTTCTTTGTCATTTGTTCTTTACATTAGCATCTTATCTTTATTCTGCTCTAGAATTATGAGTTTCTTCTAGGAGTAATATTACTTTTATATATTGTTGTTAAGTGCTGTCGGGTTGTTTGCGACTCATAGCGACCCTATGTACAACAGTCTTAAACCCTGCTCCATCCTGTGCCAATTGCACTGCCTCTGACACACCCATCCCAATTACCCCAGTCACTGAATCAATCCATCTCATAGAGGGTCTTCCCCTCTTGTGCC